GAGTTGAACTTTAGCATTTTAAAGTATGTTATTACACCTTTACAAACATATTGGTGAAGAAATTGTTTGGTAACAATTTAGCTGGCAGATTTTGATATGTTTCTCTTACTATTAGAGCTTTTCTCTACCAAAGTAATTATTTCAATTTAATGACAAATAGATATTAAACAGAAATATCACCTATGAAATTGTAACCAGGCTGTGCATACATTAAATTAATCTGTGAGGAAAGTCAACAGGAGGTCAGTCAGCCCTTTCAGTGGGAATCTCTGTCGTGTTCTCTACCTGCTCAACTAAAGAAACTCTTATGGGGATGCTCCAGGGGCAGTTGTGGATGCTTGTGGAACATCTGCAGCATGTGGTCACCTAACACCTGACTAAGACACTTACTGTGGGCTTTTCCTTTAATTTGTTATCTGTCTGGTTCAGGAGTTTTCAACAGTTTGGCAAAGACATTCATAATCCTGGGAGAATGAATCCTAATGGGGCTTTTTTTCCCCTCTAAGACCATCTTGAGTTGGATGTTTTATATTTAGACTGAAAAGTATTGACAGCTAAGACGTGGCTTGCTCCCTGTAGGATGAACTGTAATAACAACAATCCCACTGAGGTAGATTTGTAATTTTTGTCTTTGGAATATTCACAGAAAATTGACTTGACTTGCAGCTTCATACTCTGTATACTGCTGTAGCCAGACCTTGACTGCCTCCACCATGGAGGTCCAGCTCCATGGTGGAGGCTGGTTTGTTTCTTGTGACCAGAGTAAAGAAGTGTGGATGGAGCATAGACTGTATAAAAGATGGACGTAGCTACCATGATGTCGCCCGCTGGTTTCTGCACTGAGAAAATGAAGCCAGGGTTTTGCTACTTCCTGGTTGACATCTTGGATTTTTGGAGCCAGTGACGCAAAAATCGTCAGAGGGGGGCGGAGCCATAGGAGCAGCGATTGGTCAGACGGATTGAGAGGCGGGCCCTCTCTGCCCGCCCACATTTACCGCCTTCTGCTCACTTCATCTGTATGGTCACTGCCGACTGTCAATCAAGCCAGCCACGCCCCTTGCCCCGCAAAATTTTGACGATTTTTAAAAAATTCAGTATTGATTTATTTTCAGATTGGCCACCTGATCTCTGGACTTGACCATGAAAACTAATTTAAAGAAAATCCTGAGCTGGAGGAATGCGGTATTTCGTGATCTGTGATCACGTCTTTTCCAATTCATTTCTATGGGAGCCAGGGCTTTTTGGAGCCAGCAGCTAGCGGACGTAGTGATATTGCAGGTTTTTGACACTTCCGGGTTGGCGTCATTTTTCAGGGCCGGTTGCTACATCCAGCTTTTATACAGTCTATGGGATGGAGTCAGGGATGTGAACATTTCTGTGTCAGCGTAATGTGGTTTCATTACAATGTTGCTTCTGGAATGTGCCTCCTTAACCAACTTACAAAAATGAAAGATGGCTGCCAAACAGAATCACATTTGTTTCCAATTAATGTCATGCAAACACTGCCATCTTCTCTTAGTCACTGGCTTCATGAACAAAAAAACAACCAATGAAGTTGATTTTTTACTTGCGCATCACCCCACGCCAGGAGTATAAAAGGCGCACTCACCGCGCATGCTTGCGTTTTGCCAATGATCGCAGATTGTATTTTTGCTTCAAACAAATAGCGGATATATCATAATCCAATCAGATGTACAGGTCAGGACACTGGACAACACAGCACTACTTGGAGTGGCTGCATGTCTCAGTGCAAGGGCTGTTTCTTCTGTCACTGCCTCTCAGTATAAATGGATGAAAACACCACATCTGATCACACTCATCCTTCATCATCAATGGCACAGCGGCCAAATGTTTTCACACACACAATACAAGCAGCGTTTTCTTACATTCGAGACTTGATAACTCAGTAAGCAAATCACTGATCCCAATGCATAATAAATACTGAACTGTACTCACCCATTAGAAGTTCATCCTGCGGGCAAAGTCGCTGACAACATTGCTCAAGCCCAAATTCCTGGCTCTGTTGTTCTCTACTGAGAGCATTGCCAACTCACTTAGTCTTTCCTGTCCCATACTGCTCCTCAAATATGTTTTGATGAGTTTGAGCTCAGAAAAAGAGCGCTCTGCAGTCGCAGCAGTGATGGGTATGGTAAGATACAAAGCAATGCTGTGCAAACATTGCTGAAGGAGTCTGCCACAGAGCTGCGCTGCCAGGAGACGGGTGAGCAGGCCCACTGTACTGACATCACATGGGCCCAAGAGTGGGCCCCCTACTGCACCGGGGCCCCGGTGCATTGCAGCGCCTGCAGGTGGGAAACAATGACAAAGCCCCCAGAGTGATGCAGTCAGACCATTTTTTTTGCCTGGCTGGGACTCTGTACAAGAGCTTTGCTAATAGAAACATATAGTTTATTTATTTACATATGACATCAACAGCTTTTCTTTGACTAAAATACAAAATCAGTGTAAACATTTTCTGGCTATTCAGAACTACTGGGTTGTATGTGGCTGTACGGGGGTTCCTGCACTGTTAAAATCAGCGAGATACGGTGAGGTTCATGGCTGGTGAGGCACTGACTTCATCAGAATCTGATTTACAAATATATGCACTCTACGCAGTAGCATATTTGCCATTTGATTGGCAGCAGTTTATGGGTTATGTTTCATATCTGCATTCAGTACACATACAAGCTGGAGCCCACGAAACGCATGTTTTTTTTTTCTTCTTTATTTCAAAATTACCAAAACTGACGAGGCTAAATGAAAGAATAAATACTTTATAGTACAAATCACTGGATAAATAAAACCATTTAAATGATTTTATCATTATATATTTCTCTGCTTCACCTGCCTCCCCTGACTGCACACCACTGGTTAAAATGTATCTGTGTGGGAAGAAAAAAAAAAAATCACCAGCTACTGGAAGCTGGAAGCCTAACTCCAGCTCTGAGTTCTTGTCCTCTAGTTTTTCACTACTGGCTGTCTGTGATGGCCAGGGCCAAATTTAGCTCTTGGCTGTGGAGAAATTATGGCATATAAGGCTAATCATGTTACAACTTTTGTGTTAATCATATGACCCCATTATCTCACTGAAAAATAAATGATTGTTAAAATTATAAAAATATGTTTTTGGAATTGAAATTAGAATTTCAACCATTCGGTCCACATGGAAAGTCTAGAGGACCAGTAAGATTATTTTATTACATGCATATGCTAAGAGAGACAACAGGAATTCAGGCAGCTCTGCCAACTGAAGTTTAGGACACACATTCTTTTAGTCAGATCAACTGACATGGAGGCAAAGGCACAAGCTCTAAAGCTGAGCAGCTGTCATAGGAATAAATCAGGCACCATCTCTGGGTGTAGTTGTGTTCTCTGTAATACATCCATGGCAATGACCTGCCTCTGTCCCAAAATATTAATGGGAAGCAGAGATCAAAAGCACAGAGCCCTACTCACACCAGTAAGGTCAGCATGAAAGAGTAAAGTCAGCAGAATTAGAAATGGAGAAAAAAAAAAAAAAGGAAAGTTAGCATGAAAAGCATGAAAAAATCTTTTTAGCATGAAACAGTTACGTGACATAACATAAAAAGCAGTGGTGTGCCGTCAAGGCCAGCAAGGCCTTCTCTGCTGGCCTAAACTCTATCAGAACCACTGGCTTATGTTGTAA